ACCCTATAGCAAGTCACTCTACATTGATTCCCAGACCATGGCAGCCGCTAATCTGCTTTTTGTCTCTATGGATTTGACTATTCTAGATATTTCTTAGAAATGGAATAATACAGGCTAAGGGTGTAACTCAGGGGTAGAGCACTTGCCTAGCATGAGTGGGTTTGATTCCCCTGCACTGTATAAATAAAGGAAGGGAAGGAACAATACAATCTGTGGCCTTTTGTATTTGGCTTCTTTCACTGGCAATAATGTTTTCAGGATTCATACATGTTGTAGCATGTGTCAGTCAGTATTTTTTTTTCTTTCTATAGTTGAATGGATATTCCATTGCATAACTATGCCACATTTTTTCATCCATTCAGTTGGTGGGTATGGGAGTTGTATCTACCTTTAGGCTATTAGGAATAATCCTTTTATTTTCAAGTACAAGTTTTTGTTTGAACACCTGTTTTCAGTACTTTAGGTATAAGCTTAGGAATCAGAGTGCTGGGTCATATGAAATTCTAGGTTGAGTGTATTGAGAAGCTGCTAGACTTTCACAGTAATCACATCATTTACATTCTTAACAACAATGTTATAAGTGTTTCAGTTTTTCCACATGCTCATCGATATTTTTTTATTTTCCATTTTTTTCCTTTTCCTTTTTGATAGCCATCCTATGAAGTGTTATATATCATTGTGGTTTTAATTTTATTTTCCTAATGTAAGATATTGTGTATCTTTTCATGTGCTTATTGGTTATTTATGTATCTTCTTTAGAGAATTATCTGCTCAAGTCGTTTTTCCATTTTTTAATTAAGTTTTTTTTTTCCTTTATGATACTAAAGATTGAACCCAGAAGCACTTTACCAATGAACTACATCCCCAAACACCTTTTTAAATTTTTAGACAGGGTATCACTAAGTTTTTGAGACTAGCCTCAAACTTGTGATCCTCCCACCTCAGCCTCCTGAGTTGCTGGGTTTATAGGCATGCACCACTCCATCTGGCTTATCTTTTTGTTGAGTTTATGTATTCTTAATAATAAACCCTTAGCAACTAAATAGTTTACAAATATTTTCTCCCATTCTGTAGATTGTCTTTCATACTCTTGATAGTGTCCTTTGATGCACTAAAGTAAATTTGTTTTGATTAAATCAGATTTCTCCACTTTTTTGCTTTTGTTGCTTAATTGTGCTTTTTGTTGTCATAACTAAGAGATCATTGCCAAATCTAAGGCTATGAAAATTTCCCTATGGGGGCTGGGTTGTGGCTCAGCGGTAGAGCGATCGCCTCGCACATGTGAGACCCTGGGTTGGATCCTCAACACCATATAAGAATAAATAAGTGAAATAAAGGTATTGTGTCCAATTATAATAACTAAAAAATAAATATTTTTAAAAATTTACCTATGTCTCCTTCCAAAATTTTTTATCGTTTTAGCTCTTATATTTAGGTCTCTGATCAATTTTGTGTCAATTTTTTTATATGGTATGAGTTAACAGTCCAGTGTCACTCTATTGCATGTGGCTATCCAGTTGTTCCAATACCAGTTATTGAAGATTCTTCCACCATTAAATGATCCTGGCATCCTATAAAAAAGCAGCTAGTTGTGGGTACATGGTTGTACTGGATATTTTTCTGTGGGACAGATTAATTTCTTTTACGATCATCAAATCTTTTAAAGGAGAAAGGTGCTTTACTAATGTTGAACCAGAACACTGACATTAAAGAGAAGGAATCTTTGACACTATAACTGTTATCCTGTTCATTTCTTGAAACATTTAGAGCCATATTTTTGTATTCTTTCCATTTTTACCAGAGAATTCTAACATTGGAATTCTTTTTACCTTTAATAGACAGATGTACAGAAGATTTTAAGAAATGCAAGGAAACTACCTGAAAAAACACAGACATTCTATAAGGTGAGATGACCAGAATTACATTAGAAGAGGATATGCCTGGGGATGTGCCCAAGAGAAATTGTTCACGTAGCAAGAGTCTGAGGTAGGGGCCTAGGGATGGAGCTCAGTGGTAGAGCACTTGCCTCACATGTGCAAGGGCACTAAATTTGATTCCTAGTACCACCTTCCCCATCCCACCCCCAAAATAAAGACTGTTGGGTAGCAGCATGGATATGGGCAACAATTAAAAATGAATGACTTGTGCCTGTTTTCTCATCATTAGTCAGCAGAAGTGATGGGTCTGCTCTTGCCTTACAATCAAAGAATTGGGAGTGTTTAGATGGTCCAGCTCTACACAGGCTCTGTTCAGGAGGGTTTCTCCAGGCTAGTGCTGCTGTGAATGGCTGTGGGAGGCAGCTAAAAGGACCTGTACCCTCACAATCACTCCTGTGTGGGTATCTAGTCCAACCTAAGCAGTGTATGTGACTTCCTGGGATGTAAAATTGCCCAGAACATTCTTACCGCACTAGAGAAACTGCTTCCAGAAATGACTTTTAAAATCACACACTTATGAATTGCTAAGTGGTCGTTCCTCATCGAGCCTAGCTAGTCTAGAACCAGTGGTTGAGAGACTAAAGTTACAAGGGAGGGGGTAGAGTCAGGAGCTTACTCCATTTCTCCTGTCCATCCTGTGTTCTACTGAAATCGGATTAAGTGCAGCGTCAGATGTGTCCTACCTTGCTAATCTTAAAATATGGCACACACAGCCACCCTCAGGCTAGCATCTCTTCTGGAGAATGTACCATTTTGTCTGGTGTTATGTCATTACCTTTATTCACTGTTGTCTTCAAACCTAATATGTAGCAAGCTGGTGAAATCAAGTAAAATTTGCAGCTTTAATCAGAGTTCAACCAGAGAGCTTCCTAGCCACCTCATTCCCTCCCCACTTGAAGCCCATAAACCCCCCTCAGCTGCAGTCCCTGACTCTCTGCAGTTTTCTACAGAACTGGAACCTTTCTGTTAAACATGGTACACTTGTATTGTGACTTTCTGAACTTTTCACCTTTTAATAGATGTTAGTAGAGAGGTGGTCAGAGAGCCTGTTTCTTTTCTGGGTTCATGTAACTAACCCTACAAGAGAGCTAGAAGCCTCTGGCTTCTGTGCCTGCAATGGACAAGGAAGGGGTTATCCTTACTTTGAAAACAAAACCTCAGACCCAATGGGGCTACATGGCTTGCCCAGATCACACTAAGTGGTTGATGGGACACTTCCTTCATACTTCTCTGCTTCCATCCACTACCCACCCTTTTTTTTTTTTTTCTTTTTAAGGAGGGACAGTCTTTCTGGCTGATTGCTCTAAACATGTTCTCTATCTTTCTCTTGAATCCACGACAGAGGAACCAGATGGTTAAGAGCTTTCCGAGATTTGAAGCCTTTTTTCATACCCACATAACAGAGGAAAGGTTACCCTCCTCATAATTATTTGTAGATAGATTAGGTATGCAAAGTGGTCACCTCCATGTTTAACATAACTGCTTACTTAACTATGATGAGGATGACAACCTGTGTTTGTCACCTCAGTCTTCTTATCTAGCTGCTGGTCACCTATAGAGGAACCGTTTGCCAGTTACATCATCACTCTCACTACTGCCTTCTCTGTATAAAAATTTGTCCTCACAWAAAAATGGTCCCTAAGAGTTGAGGGTTGAGGAAAATTTGTTCTAAGCCAGGTACTCAGAAGGTATGTGACAAGAGCACATTTCAGGAACATTGATGTTTATTCTTGTTCAGGAGCTGAACCGTTTACGAAAAGCTGCCCTGGCCTTTGGTTTCCTGGACCTGCTCAAAGGGGTGGCTGACATGCTAGAAAGGGAGTGTACGCTGCTGCCCGACACTGCCCACCCCGATGCTGCATTCCAGCTGACCCATGCTGCCCAGCAGCTCCAGCTGGCCAGCACTGGCACCTCGGAGTATGCCGCTTATGATCACAACATAACACCTTTGCATACAGACTTCTCTGGGAGCAGTACTGAAAGAATGTGAAACTGGCTTTTGGAGCCTTTTTTTTTTTTTCCATTTTAACTGAAAATGATTTAGAGCCAAAGCTTTTCCAGTATGTTCACCTGGAACAACCACTCATAAACCTTCCTGAGGCTGGCTCAGAACACCACTTACTGGTTTAAATGACTTCGATAGTCTTAAGAAGGATCTGAGGGTGGTTAGCTGGTGCTTCCTGGACCTAGACGGCTGTTGCTCCCTGAGGGGCACATCTCTTGAGAAGCTTGAAGGACGAGCACATCTCTTGAGAAGCTTGAAGGACTATGAGCATGGAGCTACCCCGCCTTCCTCAGGAAACTTGACTGGCAAGGGTGCAGTTCTCTGGCTTCCAGAAGCATCATCTCCAGGTTTGTCTCAATCATTAGGATATTTTCAAGCTTCTGTCTTTGGGATGAGCAACCCAGACTGCCTGGGATTTGTTGAGTCCAAACCCAACTCCACTATGTTCCAGAACTTTCCTTAGAACTTGGTAAAACATGGTGGTAACCCTTAGGTGCTTTTGGTATATCTTGAGATACTAACTTTTAAACAGCAATCACATGTGTAAAATGATTCCTGTCTCTTCAAGCTTTTTTTTTTAATAAAAATAAAATATTTGATTTTCTATAAAATAGTTTTACTGAGGAAACTAATGGTCCTTTGCTTTTTCGTTTGTCTTATCACTTGAATATAGTTCAGCTTCCTAAGGGGCACAAATTCATAAACGTGACGATTCCTTGTGATCTGTACTGACTTCATTATGTCTGTCTGACATACTTGGTTGCCTAAGGTCGTGACAGACCATTATTTCAGGGTCAGGCTCCTAACCCACCAGCTAGTTTCATGAACTTAGGCAAGTCCTGCAATTTCTGGARGTTTCATTTACATCAGCAACACTTTTCCAGCTGTTCTGGAAGAATGCCCTCAGGCTTCAACCAAGCCACTATCTTTGGTTTAGCATGCTGAACTACTGTATGATATTTTGCCTGAACAAAAGACTTGAACAGTTTGAAAACCATTAGACACAACACTAGGATTTTGATTGTAAATGTTTTTAATAGAAATACACAATCTTTCACTTTCTCAGACAGCAATAAAAGGGTTCCTATCACTAAGAACACAGGATTTTGCCACAAGAATGCAGCATAATCTACTGCAAAGCTGATCTGCCCATTTACACAGTTGAAGGAATATCAGAAGTCAATACAAACAAGTGTTGACAGAAGTTACAGACATGCAAAATACCCTTCAGTGCAATGAGTTTTTAAAAAATCAGCCCACATATGGTAATCAGATGCTTTAGGTCAACTCAGGTTTCCACCTTGGGCTCAGTGAAATAGCATTAACTAATCCAGTCTCCCTTCCCCGAAGAACAACGGGAGTGGCAGAACACAAAGCGCTACCATGCTTAAATTGTTTTAGACAAGTGTTACTTCTAACACTTATTTACTTGGTTTATGTGGAATGTGTTAGAGGAAACCGATGTTTTTTTACAATGGCCAACCATTCTAAACTTTTTTCAATTTCCTTTCCCTTTTGGTGGGTTTCCTGCAGGAATCCTTATTAAAGGATCAGCTGGTCATTCCCCAGCTAAAGTTCCCACCCTCTGTTTTCAGTGTCCGACTGCAGACAGGTAAAAAAGGCAATCTTAACAACAGCAGAAAAAAGGTGTTTGTGAGGTTCAAAAATGTATAGCCTCACCCCTCACTCAGAGAAACACACAACTAAATGGACTCAAGCAGTACAGGGGAATAAAGGCTGACTTTTATGTTTGTAGTTCAAAAGTTGGGTAGGCATGTTTGGCCTACTTTAATGTTTCAGTTTGCCAAAGACTATATTGCCAGTAACTGTATCACTGACAACTGGCCCACATATTTGTGTTCCCTTTTGATCCCTGAAGCCACTGAGTTTAGAACACTTATAATGTCCCTCTTTAGTGTTGAAAACATTTCTGATTTACCTAGAAATAAATAATCATGGGTGTTCCAAGGTCCCTGACTGTTTCTCCCAAATCACTCTGCCCCTTCAATGCCCACACAGGTAAGCACTATAGTAATAGATGATGCTAGGCCAAAAGATGTCAGATGTAAAATGTGCTCCAGCCCCATCTGACTCAGAAATGTTTTATCAATGACCAAGACTAATTGACTTTCAAAAAGTCAATGCCATCCACTATGCAAGTAACCCCTTGGGTACCTTATAGGTATAGAGCACTGAAACAATATCTCTGGCATATAAGAACCCGACGATATGAAGTGGGGTGGGGCTGAGCCTTTTGTGTCATTACTGAATACACAAGAATGAACCTGTTGTCAGATACCAGGAATCCATGTCATGCAAGTATTACATGAAGATAATATAGTAAATTCAGGAATGTTACTGGGGAAAGAAAGATAGCCTCACTGAGAATTTTTTAACTTTAAAAAAAAAAATGTTTACATCAGTACAAGAAGGTAAAACTGTAAGAATCATAGATTAGGCTCAAACTGGCAAGAAACCATCTAAATCTCTCTTTTTAGTGGATCTTTTTCTTTTTTTGTCCATAGCGCCGCCTGCGCTGTTTATAAAGGTGACGAAAATTTATGTATAATCCTAAAAAAGAAAAAAGAAATGAAAATGTTCATCTTCCATCTATTATAACCAGAAACTCTTGGGGTGAGCACACTCTATATTCTTTTTTTTTTCTTTCTTTTGTTTTTGGTGGTACTGGGAATTGATCTAAGGGGTGCTTTACCACTGAGTTAAGTTCCCAGTCTTTATTTTTAATTTTGAGACATGGTGTCTCTAAGTTGCTAAGGCTGGCCTTGGACTCTCAAGCCCCCTGGCTCAGTCTCCTGAGACTGGGATTATAGGCATGTACCACTACACAACTGTCTGTTCTTCATATTCTACAGCACTAAGTTTATTGAGGCTGTTCAGGAAGTACAACTTAGAACCATTAGTAACAATGCACAACTCTTCCCCAGGGGTTTAAAACTTAATCTCTTCCCATGTTTTATTAAGAAAATTTCAAGCAAACAAAATCTATGTAGAGTGAACAACATCTCCATTTAACTTTTTACTTTTATCACGTACAATCCTACTCATCCGACCATCTATCTCATTTTTGAGGCATTTCAATGCTAGATGCAGACAACACACTACCCATAAACAGTTCTTAAATTATAGTTCAATATTTCTTTTCTTTTTTAATACTGGGAATTGAACCCAGGAATGCCACTGGCCCAGCCCTTTTTATTTTGAGACAGGGTCTCACTAAGTTGCTGAGCCTGGTTTTCAACTTATGATACTTATGCCTCAATCTCCCAAACTGAGATTATAAGCATGGGCCACTGCAACCAACCAATATTTATTTTTTATTCCCTTTTGCATACAATGAAATGCACAAACCAGAAGTATAGAAATAACCTGTTTTAAAATTCAAGACAACCTCAAGAACATGTTTTAAGCAATAGTCTGAAGAAATATGAGACAAGCTAGGCATGGTGGCACACATCTGTAGTCCCAGCTGCTCAAGAGGCTGAGATAGGAGAATCACTTGAGCCCACAAGTTTGAGACCAGCTTAAAAAACAGCAAAACCATCTCAAAAAAATAAATAAATAAATAAATACAATGCAATACAATGAAACTATGGAAATGCTTTCCTAGGAAGCACATTTCCATGAATTGGGAAATAGAATTAAGAGTCAGAAATTTTAATCCCACTTAATCACCGAGTAGATCCCATAGCTTAGTATCACCTTAGTTTCCTCATTCGTACAATAGGGTTAAAAATGCTTTATTTTAAAGAAAAAGGTGTGGGAGTGGTCCGCAAAAAAAAAAAGAAGATCAGTATAACATACACATGCTAAGTACGCTCTACCAGTGAGCTAGTTACAACCCCAGGAAGGCTTTTAAATTTCTCATGTTTGTAATAATTCAGATGTACTTTCTTTCCCCTTTAGTTCTTAGTTTTTATGAATTAAGGCAGGAATTTGTAATTTTATATACAGGTAAACTAGTAAGCAAGCAGGTTGTGTGTGGTCGGGGGAGGGGAGGGTGTTCCTACTGTGAGCTAGAGGCTCTGTAATAGCCCTCTGGTGGCAGGAAGCCTTCGCTACCTTTTTCCTTGCCTCCTGCCAACTGCGCTACGGCTTCTTAGAGAAGCTGGGGAGGCTGGATGAGGAATGTGCTACTGAAACTAGGAAAGTATAAAGATCTGTTTCCTACGGCATTTTATTATATTTATTTACTTTTAAATTTTTTGATTATGAGATGTGGTCTTGCTACAAGTTCAAGGCTCCTGGGTTAAAGCAATCCTCTTGCATCAGCCTCCTGTGCAATTAGGACCAAGGGGTTACACCACCACCCAGCTCCTACTCTTTTTTTTTTTTTTTTTTAAGTTGGAGGCGCCGGTGTTGTGGCTCAGTGGTAGAGCGCTTGCCTAGCATGTGTGAGGCACTGGGTTCAATCCCTGGCACCACATAAAAATAAACAAATGAAATAAAGGTATTTGTCCATCTACAACTTAAAAAAAAGAAAAAAAGGAATTCAAATACTCAAGAGACTTGGGAAGAAATATTTCCTGGTGGGTGTGTTTTTTGTTTCTTAGTTTGTTCTGTCTGTGGTGCTAGGGATCAAACCCAGAGCCTTACACATGCAAAGCACCTGCTCTATCACTGGGATACCCACCCAAAGTCCCTTAATGGGTCTGATTTTGCAAAATAAATCTCTTAACTCTATTGCTACTCTCTCAAAAATAGAATTCAAATAAGGACTTTTAAACTCTGAATCATTTCACTCTACCCTCTAAAAAGTGACAGGAAAAGGTCTGTATTACAGAGCTAATACTTACCTAAAAATAACATTATAAGATAAATCTGAAGAAAAAAGGAAAATCTAACTTTGATTTTCACAGGATATGGCAATGTAAAACTGAATCTTCCTGTTTCATTGAATATTGGAATGGACTGGATCACTGAAACCGCTGAAAACAGAAACAAGAGCTTGTTAGAAGCAAATGACATCCAGTACAGGGACATCTCGTGACAGACCCCTCTAGCGTTAGCCCTCACATTTCATTCTGAGTTGTTGGAAATGCTCCCCACTCCTGCTGTACAGAAAGCACTTGCTGCCCTCTTCCTAGACCCCAAGTTTTCCTGAAATAAGCTTCCAAGCCATTAATAGAAAGATGAATGAGAACAGTCATGGCCCTGGGCCTCTGTTTCCCAGCCTATGAAATGGAGAAAAACCCCTACCTGACACTCACTAGGGGTTGATCAGAATAAAATGAAGTCATTAATAAGAACCTGTTAAAGGAAATTTAAAATATATAAATGTGAAGCATGCAGCACATGGTTAGCTAGCTTCCAAACCTTATAAAATGAGCTACAGTCTTGGAATGGTCTGGGTACCAGGGAGACTATGGCAGAAAGTCACAAGAACAAAAATCACTGTAAAGTCCAACATCTCATTTATCAGATTAAGGCTGGCAGAGGTAGGAAGAAAGGACTGATCTCTTAACCACGAAATCCCCTTGGAGCTAAGCTATGAGATCTAGAGTTCCTGAAAATACCTTCTGCCAAACATCCCAGAGGGTATATGGGAATCCACACAGTGTAACGAAGCCATGTGAGCACCTTCCAATCCATGTCAATGCAGGAAAGCATATAGAAGGGGTATCTATTGAAAATAAGGAATGCTAGTGTTAAAAGTCACTTCAGACAATGAATGCAACCCTAGAATATAAGAATCAGTTCTCAATTAACCACATATAGTTTCTTCAGAACAGAATTAGGATCCTGAGCTATTTATCCACAAATTCCCATCAAGCTACTTTCTAAATCTTCAAAGGATAGGAACCCTTTTTGTTCAGCATATGCACTAGATACTTAGAATCTTTTTGGCTTTATTCCTAGTTCTGATCTATGTTCCTAGTAGGTAAAGATGTCAGACTCTTCATCTCCAGATAAGTAAACTGGTATCAAAATTAAAGTATACAAAAGGCCTTTAATCTAGAACCAGACATATTCTATTTTTTAAAAAAAATATTTATTTTTTAGTTGTAGGTGGATACAATATCTTTTTTTAATATTTTATTTTATTTTTTTAGTTGTAGATAGACACAATATCTTTATTTTATTTTTATGTGGTGCTGAGGATCTAACCCAGGGCCTCGCACGTGCTAGGTGAGCGATCTACTGCTAAGCCACAACCCCAGCCCCAATATCTTTATTTCATATTTATGTGGTGCTGAGGTTTGAATCCAGTGCCTCATGTGTGTTAGACGAGTACTCTACCACTGAGCCACAACCCCACCCCCAGACATATTCTATTTTAAAAGAGATATTACAAAAAAAGAAATTTGTTTCTTCCCAAACTGTAAAAGTTAAGGATCTATAATCTTTTTTGCCTTTGCACTAAGCATATCAGAGGGTACGAACAGAAGACAACCTATGTGGATGCCACCTGTTCTCTCAATTATTAACTTTGTCAAAACACCACCAGTTAAAATCCCTCTGTATGTATAAGTCTCAACCAAATAAGACTCTGGCCAAGAACAGCTTTCTCAGGAGAGAACTGCTGCAGAGATGGAGAAAGAAGCACTCAAACATACTGGCATTTCTACTCACCTGAAAATTTCAATTGCGCTCCACATATAAAACACAAAGAACACCACAGCTTTATTTTGCATCTCTTCCATGGTGCCAAAGATGATAAACAAAATGAAATTTCTTCCAAGAAGCTATTAAAAAGACCCAAAGAGAAACGTTTTTATATTAAAAAATATATATACATGTGCCATATAAACGTGTTATCTGAAACCTAACTCCACTAAATATGAAGTAAATGGAGAAGACTGAGCTCAAGTAGTTTAACCCATTTTATCCCATCATCCTATAGTGGAACACCTGTACAAACTTAAGTATAGTATATAATACATAATACAATTATATAACATATAATGTAATTATACATTATTCAACATAATTATAGTGTAATATAGTAATTATAATATTAACTAATATATATAAGCTCTAAATTATTATTTGCAACATATTTTAATGCACCTGTGTTAATTTTGTTGAAATATGTATAGAACTTCGGACTTAATGAATTAATTCTCCTCCAATTTTGGAATAAGTACTCAAACCAGTCTTTCTGGATAGGTACTTTTGTATGTGTCTAAATATATCGTAAATAGTACTTTAAAACACATATGCATAGGGGCTGGGGTCGTGGCTCAGTAGTAGAGCGTTTGCCTAGCATGCAAGAGGCACTGGGTCCGATCCTCAGCACTACATAAATGTAAAATAAAGATATTGTGTCCACCTAAAACTAAAAAATATTTTTTTAAAAAAAGCACATGTATTCAAATACAATTTGAAGCAAACTGCCTATGAGCGTTTGTGCCAGCGTAACTCAAGTTAAGGAAGAGAGTGTTACTATCATGTCACCCCATAAGTAATGACTATCCAGTATTAATCATTCCACTTATTTTCTTCATAGTTTACTGCTTGTTACTATAAATATTTCTATGCAACATAGTATTTCATCCAGATTTTAAACAATTTGAAATCATGCTAAACATATTATCTGAAACTTGCTTCTTACTCAGTGCTATGGTCTAGAAATCCATCTACTTTAATGCATGTAGCCACAGCCCACTTGTTTTCACCACTATAAGGCACACCACAGGCACCACACTACATGGTGTCAACTACTAAATCCTCATAATATCTTGATTTCTTCTTATGGTGAGTTCCCCAACTTGGGTTCTTTCTTAAAAGAATTTTCCTGGCCTATTAGGCATGGTAGAGGCAGGAGGATCGCACTTTGAGGGTCAGCCTGGTCAATTTATCAAGATTCTGTTTCAAATTTTTAAAATAAAATAAAAGGTAAGGGATGGGGCTGGGGTTGTGGCTCAGCGGTAGAGTGCTTGCCTAGCATGTGTGAGGCACTAGGTTTGAGTCTCAGCACCACATATAAATAAACAAAATAAAGATACATCAACAACTAAAAAAAAAAACAAAGGTAAGGGATATAGCTCAGTGGTAGAGAGCTTGCCTAACAAACACAAGGCCCTGGGGTTCAACCTCTAGTACTTCAAAAATAATACCTATTATTATATTCCTGGCCTTTTGCTTGACCCTCAAACCCCTTTATTTATAGAGAGGGTATCACTGTGTTGCCCAGGCGGCTCCAAACTCCTGGCCTCCTAAGTAGCTAGGGCTACAGGCATGCATCACCACACCCAGCTATTCCTTCATTTTTTTTTAAATAATGGTAAGATATATATATAATTATATATATATATAATTTACCATCTTAACCAGTTTTAAGGTTATTAGGTCAGCGGTATCAAATACATTCACAATGTTTTACAACCATCACCACCATTAATCTCAGTAACTTTTCTAATCTTGCAAATGGAAACACTGGCTCATTAAACAATGACTTTTCATTTCCAGCAACCCCTGGCAATCACCATCCTAACTTTCTGTTTCTTAAGATTCTGACTATTCTAAATGCCTCATGTGAGCAGAATCATATAGTACTGGTTTATTTTACTTAATATAATTTCCTCAATCCATCCATATTATAGTGTATGTCAGAATTTTCTTCATTATTACTACATAATATACTATATTTTGGGTCATTTCTACTTTTACCTATTGTGAATAATGCTACTATCCTCTTTGTTTTTTCACAAAATTTTAGAATTTTCTTATCACATTCCAAAACTTTTTATATTGTGATTTGAATTACATTTAATCTATAAGTAAATGTGAACTAACATCATTATAATGTTGAGTCTTACATTCAAGAATACTGTCTATATGCATTTGTGTTCTCTATTCCTTCCTGTATCTCAAATAGTTCACTAATTCTCTCCTCAGCTCCATCTAATATACTATAAAAACTATCATTAAATTTTGAAATTTTGGCAGGTGTGGTGGCACACGCCAGTAATCCCAGCAACTCGAGAGGCTGAGGCAGGAGGATCATATATTCAAGGCCAACTTCAGCAAATTAGCAAGGCCCTAAGCAACTTAGTGAGACCCTGTCCCAAAATAAAAATAAAATGGGCTGCCAATGTAGCCCAGTGGTAACATACCCCTGGGTTCAATCCCCAGTACCCAAAAAAAATTAAAATTAAAAAAAAATTTAAATTTTGGGGCTGGGGAAATAGTTCAGTGGTAAAGCACTTGCCTAGTATGTGTGAGGCCCTGGGTTTGATCCCTGATACCTCCAAAATACTTTTTTAATTTGATTACTATATTTTTCATTAGTAAAAGTTCTATTTGCCTCTTTTCAGATCTGTTTATATTCTTTAGTTTCTTGTTTCATGTTCAAATAGTCAAGTTCTCATTAAATGATTATTTTCTATTTTGCATCTGACAATTCTAATATCTGAAGTTCTAACAAGCCTATTCCTATAGTCTGTTGTTTTTGCTGGTTCTTGCTCACAATGCCTTATATCTTTGCTTCTATGATCTTTTGGAAGTTAAGGAACATTTTAAATAAAATTTCTAACTTGAAGATTTTTGAAACACCAAGGAGATATGAATTCGTATCATAAATCCATCTAGAGGACTCACAGTCATAACTTCATTAAAAAAGTATCTCCCCCACCTCCAGCAGAACCAACATTTTAAGAATTTTTTTTTTTTTTAATAGACTACAGTTCTATACCTGGATAAGAGAAGGCATCACTGGTGAGCTAGTGACTCCAATTGCTGCGTTGATAGTTTCCACAACTGCCAGCATCTGGCAGAAATACATCATGTCAGCCACGGTGTGGAATGTGTCATAAAAGGACTCTAAGAACACAAATACATATCAGCAGTAAATGAACTGGTAAATTCCAAAAGAATTATTTCTYAAACATACATCCACTCAGATTCAAGTTTCTAACCTAACTGTACTGAAAGGGAATATGCAGAATAAATTCCACTGATTACCAGAAAGTTAACATATAAACTCTGTTTGTCTTTCTTATTTTTAAAAGACAAGGGAGGTCGGGGGAGCACAACTATGCCTCATTCAGTTACTACACACCAAAAATTCTGTGTACTAAGCAAAGTGATTATTCTTTTCAGATTATCTAATTTGAAATTCAACTATGTCATATATATTGGATGAAATCTAAACCTTTTAAAATATTGAAAACTGATCATAAATAAATGCAAAGCGGTAAAAGAATAAGAACAGATTTCAAAAACTTTAATCATATTTATATCTTCAGATCTATTAATTCTTATTTTGAGAATCTATCCTAACTAAAAAAAATTTAATGAGAAACAACAAGCCTTACTAACAAAGTTGTTCTCTGAAATATTTCTAAGTACATTAATTTAGAAACAGTCTAAACATCCAAGAGTATGGTAAGTTTGAGTAAACTACTGTAATTCAAAATGACAGTTATTGATCATATGAGGTCAGCAAATGTGGTATCAATTCCAATCCAGTGGTCCATAAAATAATATCCTTTCTCTTCATCCCAGCATTCTCGTGACACCCTTTATTTCTACATTCTTCTTTGCAACATTCCTCAATCAGAGAATAACTGACAGTCCCTTGTCCTGCACACTGCAGGAAGTTTAGGATCCCTAAATCTACTGAATACAAGAAATGCCTATAAGTAAATTTTTTATGGGTATATATATGATGTTTTATTTATTTATTTTTATTTATATATATGACAGCAGAATGCATTACAATTCTTATTACACATATAGAGTGCAATTTTTCATGTCTCTGGTTGTATACTAAGTATATTCATACCAATTTGTGTCTTCATACCCGTACTTTGGATAATAATGACCATCATATTCCACCATCATTAATAACCCCATCCCCACTCCCTTCCCCTCCAAGCCTTCTGCCCTATCTAGAGTTCATCTGTTCCTCCCATGCTCCCCCTCCCTACCCAACTATGAATCAGCCTCCTTATATCAGAGAAAACATTCAGCATTTGGTTTTTTGGTATTGGCTAACTTCACTTAGCATTATCTTTTCTAACTCTATCCATTTACCTGCAAATGCCATAATTTTATTCTCTTTTATTGCTGAGTAATATTCTATTGTGTATATATGCCACATTTTTTTATCCATTCATCTACTGAAGGGCATCTAGGTTGGTTCCACAGTTTAGTATTGTGAATTGTGCTGCTATAAACATTGATGTGGCTATGTCCCTGTAGTATGCTGTTTTTAAGTCCTTTAGGTATAAACCAAGGAGTCGGGTAACTGGGTTAAATGGTGGATCCACTTCCAGTTTTCCAAGAAATCTTCATACTGCTTTCTATGTTGGCTGCCGACAAATCATTTTGACAACCAACAAACATCCCCAAAATGGTTATTCCCAAAAGCCCCCAAAGAAGGCAAATCTGCCCCAAATAAAAAATCACTGGTAAAGGGAATTATTATCCACATATTAGTAATTTAAATCCTCAGAGTTAAGAGGTTCTATAGAAAAGTAAAAATTACATCTGAAAAATTATCACTAATGTACCCACAATTTATAAAATTAGCTTCCATTTAAACATCTGTTCCCATTGAAGAACAAGCCTATTTATCATCTTCAAGTCTTGGTCCATCATTCTTGCCACTGTCAGCAACATGAATAATAACCTCAAAATGAAATGACAAATCTCTTAGGAAGGTGTATGGTATTCCTGAGGTCAGTTAATGGCAGTGACAGAAAATTGCTCTAACTACAGATGAAGATAATGATGAATGTGGCAGAGTTAAGCCTATTGTCAACAAAGATGTCCCATAGGAGCCTTACAAGAGAACGCTTTAAATAACAGATGATGAATAGAAGAGGCCCCTGCAAAAAATGAAGAAACTCACTGATATTTTTGCAAAAAATTTACTCAATTTACAATCCTACCACAAGTCAATATGAAAGGAAGAAAGGTATATAGTGCTGTTTGACTAGTTCTTTTAAGAAATCAATGCAAAATTATGTTAAATTTTGTGATATATAAGGTAAATATTTTAGTTGTCTAATTTTTAAAATAATTTTCATTGTCAATGGACATTTATTTTATTTATTTATATGTGGTGCTGAGAATCGAACCCAGTGCCTCACACATGCTAGGCAAGCACTCTACCACTGAGCCACAACCCCAGCCCTCATTTGTGTAATTTTAAATGTGACTTTTCAAGATAAAAATCTTAAGCAAATCTTTTTGTTAATATTTATAATGAAACGTTGGTATCCATTTTAAGGAGATTAACTATAAGTAGCATTTTTCCTGGATCAATTATCTTTGAAAACCAGGTCTTCCATACTTCAAAATAGAAACTTGTGACCTAAATTTGGCATATGGTAAATAAAAATTAGATGTTATTGCTGTCTGCCTCTGATTTTTATGGGAAATGTATTCTTGGTTCAATTCAAGAATATAAATCCAGTTTATATCTAAAATAATAGTTATTAAGAATATTAAGGGTGGAACTGGAGTTGTAGCTCAGCAGTAGAGCACTTACCTCATACGTGTGAGGCACTGTGTTCGATTCCCAGCACCACATATAAATAAGCAAATAAAATAAAAGGTCCATCAACAACTAAAAAAAAAAATATTAAAAAACAAAAAAAAGAAGGGTGGGGTGTGGCTCAGTGGCAGAGCGCTTGCCTCGTACATATGAGGCACCGGGTTCTATCCTTAGCCCCCACATAAAATGAATAAATAAAGGTATTATGTCCATCTACAACTAAATTTTTTTTAATTTTTAAAAAGAATATTAATAACTTTTAAATGCTTACAATACACTTAAAAACAAGTTACATAATTATATACATGATTATAATTATTTGCGAGAAAAGACTAAAAGGAAATATATGAAAACCTTAATAGTAACGAGACGAAAGGTTTATTCACCTTCACACCCCATGCCATCATCTCCCAAACTTTCTTAAATCAGCACATTATTTCTATGAGAAAAAAGTTTTCAAAGTACTGAATGGTACTCATATACTAATGAAAAACAGGTGTAAATAGCAGAAGTATAAAATAGTATACTCTTTCTGGAAGAAATTTGACAAACTTCATCAAAATCCTTAAAAATAGTTTATGCTTTATCTTGCAATTTCACTTCAGGAATTTTTTCTAAGAAATTTAGTAATAAGTACAATACTTTGGCTATAAGGAAGGGAAAACTGGGCTGGGGATGTGACTCAAGCCATAGCGCGTGCGCCTGGCATGCGTGCAGCCCAGGTTCGATCCTCATCACCACATACAAACAAAGATGTTGTGTTCGCCGAGAACTAAAAAATAAATATTAAAAAATTCTCTCTCTCTCTCTCTCTCTCTCTCTCTCTCTCTTTAAAAAAAAAGGAAGGGAAAACTACTCATAATGATAAAAGTTAGGAATATCTAAATGTCTTTTTATTAATATTTATTTATTTTTTAGGTGTAGATGGACACAACACATGCCTTTATTTTTATGTGGTGCTGAGGATCAAACCTGGGTCCCACCCGTGCTAGGTGAGCGCTCTACCACTGAGCCACAATCCCAGCCCCCTAAATGTCTTATAATTGGTTAAAGTACCCTATGGTAATCCATAATGTATACAGTCTTTTAAGGTAACACTGCAAAAGCATCTTTGCTGAAATGGAAAGCTGTTTATGATATTCTATTTGGTTAAAAACAAAGGCTGCAGTACAGTATATATGCTACAGACCCAAGTATTTTTACATATATGGATTTGGAAAGATAAACACCAAGGTACCAAGAATCTGTTGTTCTCACAGGAGAGACTCTAGTACAGTATTTTGTGTTAATCTTTTGTGATTTTCCTATAACTAATACTTTATAATCAAAAAATAAACATTATTTAATATAAAGTGTTCCTTAATAGACAGCTTGACAAGCCCAGGAGTTTGCTTCTGTTCCCCACTTAGTCTAAGAAATTAACAAATACATGTTTACATGACAAGATGTGTGGGAGCTGTCATTCACCAACACCCTTTATTCAAAAGGAAAAAACTACAATGAGCAAACTATGACCCTGAGTGCCAGGCCTAGGTTGTTGAGGATTGGTAAGGAAGAATTAAACTAACAGCTCCGTCCATTCCACTAGGTGATAAAGAGGCTCAGAGCCAAAATAGAAATTACCAGTCTAGGCAGCTTACATTAAATACATGACCTAGATAACTTAGCAACTTTTGTTTTGTTTTTTGAGACAGGATCTCTCTCTGCTGCCCAGGCTGGTCTTGAATACATGGGCTCAAATGATCCTGCCCCTTCAACCTTCTGGAGTAGCGGGGACTAGAGGTGTTCACCACCATGCCAGCTACTCAGCAGCTTTTGGACTTGGATGGTTTAACAGCCAGGAGGTTCATCCAACCATGTTAAGAACTTATGTACTGAATGTCCCTATTTTCATCCCATGGGATTGTGATAAACTCATACATGACAAAAAGACCTTCACTAGCCTTGTATTGTGCTATACAGAATTCCAAAGGCTTGAAAAACAACAGGCATTTCTTCCTCTCATAAGAGACTCCAGAGCTCACAATAACTCACCTTCTTTGAACCTCAGATGGAAAAATTTAGTAGGACTGAAGAGTAAGAATCTATAGGACTTTTTTCTTTTTAAACAGCATTTATATTTTCCATTATACTTATATCCTTCCCCATACTTACTTTATAAAATAAAAAAAAAATTCAAAATTTTAAAATTATCTACATTCAAATTATTTGAAAATGTATATTCCTTCCAATCTTTTTGCATATGCTGGTTTGTTTTTTCCCTCTTTACATGAGTATGATCAAACTAGAGAACCAACTTATATTTAAAATTTTTATCCTGTAAAAATTTTATTATATGGGCTGGGGATGTGGCTCAAGCGGTAGCACGCTCGCCTGGCATGCGCAGGGTGCTGGGTTCGATCCTCAGCACCACATAAAAATAAAATAAAGATGTTGTGTCCACCGAAAACTAAAAAATAAATATTAAAAAAATTCTCTCTCTGGGCTGGGGATGTGGCTCAAGCGGTAGCGCGCTCGCCTGGCATGCGTGCGGCCCGGGTTCGATCCTCAGCACCACATACCAACAAAGATGTTGTGTCTGCCGAGAACTAAAAAATAAATATTGAAAATTCTCTCTCTCTCTCTCTCTCTCTCTCCTCTCTCTTTTAAAAAAAAAAAAAATTCTCTCTCTCTTAAAAAAAAATTTATCATAAATGCTTTTATATTCTTATTATAAATGCTTATAATATTGTTATTATAATATTATTATAATGTTAATTATAATGTTATTGTAAATTCTATTATAAATGCTTTATATCTGGTTCAAAACTAAGTGAATATTCCAACGCAATCTCTCACTAATAGACATTTGGTTAGTTTTTAATTTGTCACTAAAATAAATAATGCCATGATATTTAGGTTTTGAAAATCTTTTTCTATAGTTTTAATTATTTCTTTAGAATATATCTATGGAAGTAAAATTTCTAGGCCTGTTTCACTTGGTAAATAGAAAGAAAATCAATCCAGTTGGCCTTTTTCAAAAGAACATGGGAAACAGGAGCTATGAAAGAAAAAATGAAATGTAGGAAATACTACCAAATATGGGGGGTTACAACTAATTTTAAAGACAGAGACTATCACCTTTGCTGAGTAGTGGGCCAAACTACTGAGGAAAGAAAAACTAGCGCTGAAATGTCATACTTGCCTTTTCCCAAGATAAAGAAGCGCACAGTCAGATTGACAAAGATCCAGGAGAATCCCAAGAACTGCACGAGATTATACATGAATAAGTATCCTTTCTTCAAGCTTGTAAGAGCTGAAACAAAGCAAAACAGTAAGCTGTTAAACACAGTAATCACGGCAGGAAGGGCAGGTATGGGGCATATCTGGATGAATGCAGCCCTTTTTCCTACCTGAGTGCCCCTAAGCTCCCACACCAATACCTGGTCCAGGTCTTCCTACTCCCATAAAGAAGCAGATAAGGAAAAATGAGGAACACTGCACTCCAAGGCATGCTTTCAACAGTCTTTTCTCTTATAACCTTGATAAGTATTCAGACTCAACAAAGCCAAGAAAAAAACACTATCCCAAGAATGACTGACCATTTTAGTTCACATTAAAGAAGAGAATCAAAGCTCTCAGCTTCCACTCTAGTTATCTTAATGTAATATATATTTCTTCTTTTATGGATTTTTTTTATGATCATACAGGTCAAACTAGCTCAATGAGGTAAAACTAGTAAATAAAAAAATAAACTCTGATATCTGATCATATATTCATTTAACCAATAATTTACTGAACACCTACAATGAGATATTATGAGGGCACTACTGTGATACAAAGATAGTAATACTGCCCTCCAAGAGCTTACAATCTAAAAACCAAAATACATGATAGAAAGTGGCAAGTAAGGGCTGGGACTGTAGCCTAGTAGTACAGCACTTGCCTGGCACATGTGAGGCATTGGGTTCAATCCTTAGCACCATATAAAAACAAATAAATAAAGGCATTGTGAAAAAAAATCTTAAAAAATAAAGAAAGTGGTAAGTAATTCTTGTGAAAATTTCAAGGTGAAAGAAAATGACATTAGGCTGGACAAGGAGGCACTAGGCAAGTCTATGTGGATAAACTGATATCTGATCTGGGCCTTGATGGATGGGCAAGAGGAGGACATAACCGAAAGGAGGACATTTCAAAATAACAGGCAGAAAAATAAGGAATTAATTTTGTCTGCAGCATAATGTTCATGAAGGTTCAGCTAATTACAGAGTTAAGAAAGAAATAAGGAGCTTATAGGCAAGGTTGAGCCAGAGGGTATAAAGGAAAGGATAGTCCTCAAGAGAAGAGCTGAGTGTTCAGATTTTATTGCTGGCTACAGATATTCTGCATACACACTTGGTTAATGCTCAAATAATTATAATTTAATAGTATTTAATAAATAATTTAATAGTGTGGTCAATCAAAGACAGCATTACCCTAAGTTACCAAAAAAAAAAAAAAGTTGAGACTTCTGGCACATTTAACTAATTGATTTTTTTCCTTCAAAACTATAATTTATTATACTTCTCCATCATGAAGAACTCCTTTCTTTAAAAAACTTAAAAAAAAAAAAACAGTTAAATCTTTAACATCCTGAAAATTCACATAAGAATTTTTATGAGCTGAGGATATAGCTCAGTGGTAAAAGTCTTGCCAAACATGCATGGGGCCCTGGGTTTAACCCTGTCACCACACAAAAAAAATGTGTGTATGTGTGTGTGTGTGTATGTATGTGTATATATATATAAAGTTTATCCCTCTAAAACATCAAAAAATTCAATCTCGAGTTTGCCTTTTTATATTGTTTCTTTTTGTCTCCACTAACTGTCTCCTTTCTTCTGTTTTTCTAAAGAACTTTTAAATTAGTGACTATTCAAATCTTATTTCAAACTCTTTTCCAAAAGAAATTTACTGAGAACCCTAAAATATAAAATGCTGAGATTCCCCTGGGTACCACAGAACAAAATTTAAAAACCACTGCTCTAAAACGTTCCCTTTATTATTTATGGCTGAAAAAGTTAAATGAAGGGCTTTTATTTCATTCTGCTTTTTAAATATTTATTCTGTTATTTGTTTTGCTTATCTATTTATTTCATTCTGCACGACACTTGGATGTCATCTGGGAGAAAAACACTAGGCTGGAGGAGTATAGCCTTGTGCCAATGCACATTTCCACAGGCTTATATAAGATTTTGTTGCCATTTGCTATTAGGCCAGTGCAAGAGTCTGAGGTTCTTCCACCCTGCTATACAAACCTTGGTATGCTAGGATGATGTCAGGCCCCAAACAGAAAGGACACATTAAAGGTAGGACTTCTAGTGTGAATGTGCAGAGCTTAAGCACTGGATATAAAGAATTTCTCGTAAAATCATCCATATTATTCATTAGGGTAAAACCATTCATTCTCCTGCCACCTCACATTCATCCACACTCCTGCCTCTATCATTAACCTTAGCATAGAGGGCAACTTACTTTCAGGGGAGCCTTGGCTTTCTAGTCTGAGCTTATTTAGACGTTCTTCTTCCTAGAATTTAGACAGAAATTTTCCAAGTTAGAATTCCCAGATACTTGCAAAAGCCCACATACTGGATAAGTGATCTAACTCCCTCAGTTGCCACCACCTCCTTTGTTCCATGAGGAAAATGTCCTAGCTCATGGTACTAAAAAGCTTGACGACTCCTTCATGGGCAACATTAGAGTCACAGGATGCCCATCAAATGTCTACTGAATTAAACCATCAGCTGGCTTCCAAACTGCCAAGTGGACAATCTTGCAATCTTAGTGCCGGAAAGGATAGCCAGAAAATTATCATAACCACAGAAACAAAACAGAGTATTAAGGCAGGAAGCGGATTGTTATTTTATTTTTTAAGAATTTTAGAATGTTAATATAATTTTTCTAGAAGCTAAGATCATCTTTCCAACATCAGTATTGACTATCATTTATCTTAATATATAGATGGACACAAAGAATATTTATAAGAATGTGTATATACACAGGTTAGCATGCACTCATATGTATTCCCTTGTTCTGTCAGCTGAGAGGGTTTAAAAGCAATGACACCACAGTAATGAGAAGATACCCAGGACCCAGTCTTCAATAAAAACTAGACAGCTCCTTGGAGAAATGGCTATTCTAGGGCTGGAGCAAGGAATATACAAAGTGTGCCTGGGCCAGCTTATATTGCCAGAAAGTAAGGAAATGACAAAAACAACAACAACAAAAAAACCCAGTCCTACAATGATTGATGGAGCTTTTTCAAAGACTCAAGAACCAAGTAAAACACTCCCAATGGCCAAAACTAAAATAATCTTGAGCAACAAAATAAATAACATAGTATTCAATTATAACCCAAAGTATAAAATAAATATCCATGAGTTCACACTGATATAAATATGACTGAATAAATAAATAAATGGGCAAGAACCCAAATCTCTCATTCATTAAAAAATTACTCTAAAAGACAATATATAACTCCCTACTCCTTTAGTATGGGATATGCACAGGGATTTTCTCCCAAAGAGTACAGTAAGGAGAGGGGAGAGGAATGGAGACAGAAATCTGGCAAACGTCACTTCAGCCAGCTCATCCAAGATTAACTGAACAATTATATGTCTTRTTGATTATATGTACCCTAATATAAAAATGGCACTTTATCTCTGCTGTCTCCCTCTGTAAAACCCATCATCTTAGTCTAGTCATAGGAATAACATTAGACAAATACCAACTGAGCTATAATCTCCAACATACATAAACTACTTCTCTAAAATCATGTTGCCATATCTTTAAATGAATGCATAGCCTTGTCCCTATCGTATAAAAATCTTATAGAAATATAAAGTAGCCCAAATAACTTGGGTTCCTCAGGATTTCTGCCTTCAGTGCCTATATCCCAGGTCCCTACTAACCTTGGCTCTGAGTTCCATTTCTGCATCAGATTCATCCAGCCAGCGATCAAAGTCAGGGGCCAAAAACAGTGGGCGCTTCTCCTGCTTGGTGAGTCTTTCCCACCACTGACTCACCTTCTTCTGTACCGTAATGTTTACCTGCCTCTGGGTCAGTTTGTAAACCGGCTAGAAGAGAAAGCAAGAATGTGARAATACCTCTTTCATTCCCTGAAATTGCACCAGGCCAGGCAGAGAAGCTTATTCCCCTCCAAGTCCTGATGCAAAGAAAACATCTAGGTCAAGGGCTATCATAGAGAAGAACTGGTAAGAACAATAAGATGTTTTTTCTGATTTTCCTAAAAAATAAAACAGGAATAAATCAAGACAAGAAAGGCAAATGGTTCCTGATTAGCCTGGAAGGCTAGTATGAATGTCCTGCCAGAGTCATATCATGAAGGAAGTATGTTAAATCACCCTAAGGGCAACCTCAGCTGCCAGATTTTCCTGCCAAGAAAATGACTATTCCTAGCTTAGCAAATCTTTGTTGTAGAAAAGCCAGTATCGATGCCAAAACTGTTCTGGATCAGTTACAACTTTTCCATAGTATCGGTCTAGGGAGTCTTCTCAATTAAACTCAAATTCTTAGAGGTTGTTCTACCTTATTGCTTGTCTACATGCCTTATTTCGGTCTCTAAGGCAAGCCCCATGACAGGTTCTCTGCCCCTTATGCCAATGCTATTAATACTACCTCAAAACAATGAGACCCTGTATGGAGAAATCAATAAGCTCAAGTAGCCTGAGCTAAGAGTATAAAATRCACAAAGTGATATACACCATCTGATGGATTCTCTCCTTCACTTACATTTCCTGCTTTCTTTCTATAGACCAAGTGCCTTGGCCATTTCTGATTTCTATTCTTCTCACTGCCCCTGAGCAAAGTCACATGAAAGCAACCCCCCCTGTGTGGGCTTCTTCTTCCCCTATGTAACTCTGATCTCAATGGGTGCCATACTCCTCTGTCTCACTAAAATTGGAGAATATCAGAGATGGAAAGGATCCTTGAGATCACTGGGTCCAATCCTTTAACACATGAATAAAACAGAATCCAAAGATGTGAAGAGACTTTCAAGCTCACATTCCTAATAAACGGTAATGCCCAGATTTAACTTAGATTCATTCCTCAGCAGCTAAAACAGAGGCTCTGTTCCAAATAGAAGAACTATATCATTCCCCTTTAGTTTTTTATCTTTTCTCCCCAAGCCCCTGCTCCTCATTTCACTAAACTACTACTATTCATTTCCTAAAAAAGGAAAAGAAGTAAAAAGGAAAAAACATACCTCTGGCTTCACAAGATCTAAGAACTCCAGGTGAAATTCATAGACATTGTCTCCTTTGGCACCATGTCCCTGAGCTATGAAGAAAGAAATGTGAGTTACTTTGAACTTGAGYAGAGTAAAGCCACCAAAAGTCAGCTTGGAACAGTTCTTCCCCATATATACGCAAATATTAAGGGGTCTTGTCAAAATGTGCGAGAGCTTGTGAGCTACTTGACAGCCAGATGAGCCAAAATTGGACAAAAGTTTATCTCCAAATGTCCTCAGCTGGTCAGTTTCAGACCATTTACATAATCTTCCAAAGCAGCCTAGATGATGCCCACTACAAATAATAGGCAAGAAAAAAAATGTAAAAAGCAATGCCAAAGGTTTTGTTAAAGTTAATAACTTTAACTTTCATTTACTCTGGTTCTAAATCCAGAGTAGAGATAAATCAGGTAGATGTACCATCTTGACTGTGGTTAAGGAAAGTTACAGGGTGCATGAAAATGCTATCTCAAAGACAGCTCTGAATCTAAAACCTCCCAACCAGTAACAGAGAATAAAGGGAGAAGCTAACTTAACATATCCCAAATGGAACAAAGAAAGAGAAAGACAACCTTCCTTAGCTCTTGGAGAACAGGTGGAACTGGGAAGAAAATCTCTGGGTTGGCCATCCCACAGTCCTGTTCTTTGATATGGCTCCTTTCCCAAACCAAGCAGTGCATCATGCCCAGCTCCCAGTGACTGCTAGCTCCAGGCAGCTGCACTGGACATCTCTTCCCCTCTATCTTGTCTCATTTGGTTCCCTCCCTCCTGGGGTTCTCTTTCCTCATCTGGCCATATGTAATGTGAGCTGCCTAATATTTGGTATGGTTAGCTATTATTCTCTAAGAGTATAAGTTCTTTAAGGTTGACATAGTCTATAAGCTCTAAGTGGTATAATACTTTATTATCATTTAAACTTTTTTTTTTGGCGGGGGGTGGGGAGCAGTACTGGGGACTGAACCCAGGACCTGGTGCATGCTACTCAAGCACTCTACCATGGAGTGTAGATTAGATTCTCCAACTTTTACTCTCTAGCCCTTTTAAATGTATTAAAATCCCAAAAAGTTTGAGTTGTTTCTACCACTTCTCTCATCTTGAAAAGCAGATACAAAAGCCAGGTTTGTACTTTCATGGGAGAATATTAAGACAGGAGAGATCCCACATAAAGCAGTAACTCTTCACTCTCCAATAACATCAGGAACTGAAAGAGGTAAGGGAGCAGGGAGAACCCACTCCACTGGGTAATGTGAATGCAGACCCACCCTCTCAGGCAGAGCAGTAAACCAGCTAAGGTGCTGAGGAGAAAAGAGATGGACCCAGAACCTCAGAATCAGAGATTGTCAGAGATGGAAAAGCCTTATATATCAGCCAGAGTATAGTGTTTGTCAAAATGGTTTGCAAGTGTATTATCAGGGAGCCACAAAGACTCATCAAGAACATTTTTACTTTTTGATTTTTATTGGAATCTTAAAACATACAAACAAACAAAAGCAGCACGTTCTGGATCATCTCAATGGGGATCTTATAATCAAGTACTGCCGTGCRAGTTCAGAGGCTATTTTTGTCTGTGATCACAGCTGCAATGGAGTCAGATATCACTTACAAAGACCATACTTAATTTTTCAAATGTTTCTCAGTCTGGGTCCATGAACCACTGAGGGTCCTCTGGACATAATCTTAGGTATCTATGGGTTCTTGAGTTTGAGAAAGACAGATTATAGCCCAACACCTTCATTTTATAGGTCCTAGGAAGTCAATAAGTTGTTCATGGTAGTGGCAGAATTAGAGTTAGAAGACTGATGTTCTGATTTCTGACCCAAGATTCTTATTTGTTTTGTTTTCCGACTGTACATATGGCCTATCCAAGGGGGAAGTAGGGTTTTAAACAAATTCTTTGGCTTTTTCTATTTCAAAGCAATCTAATTTACCCCAAAAGCATCAAAGGGGTGAACATCAATACAAATTTAATAAAATAGATTTTTTTTAAATAAAGGAAAAACACTACCATGTCTCCTTTTCCATGTAGCAGGCTGGGCACTCTTACATGGATACTGACCTTTGAAATGCAGCACATTTTCAGTGATGCTGATGGCAGGGTTCTGTGAATATAGACCAAAGATACAACAAGGCATTTTAATGAAAAAATTTCAATTAAATCAGGAGCTTCTTCCCACCATTTTCTCCCTAGGGAACTTAACCTGTTACCCTATTCCCTAACAGAGAATAAATATAGTGGTTTATTCACAACTCTGTAAACGGTATCTCTATATCTGTCTGACCTATCTGAGACAATAGGCTTCTCCAAGGAGGAATGTAAACTGCTCAAACTGTGCAGAACAATCAAGTACTGAATCAGTCCGTTCTGATAATGACAAATGATGCAAGACACCATGAGAGATATTACAGAGGAATGCACAAATCTCTAAGACTCAGCGGTTGAGCTATGGAACACAGAATCCATGAGAAAAGATGAGTCATTTCCTGTGAGAAAATACCAAACAGTTATCAAGAAATATACACTCAAGGCCAAAAGAGTAGTAAAAGGCAGTAAATGTTGTGAAAGTTAAAAAGAAAGTAAGCACAATGGAAACAGAATGGTTGGGAAAAGTATCTCCAAGGTGAGACCTGTACTGTAACATGAAGAATGAATTCATCTCAACAGCTAGAAGGAATGGCTGATGATAACAGGTGGTTCATCAGAACATGCTGTGCCCACAGTCTAACTTAGCCTCAGACTCCAGAATCTGCAACACTAGAAGAGTTCAAAATTCTCCAAATTGTTCATTTATTTCCAGAAGCTGCTACATACCTTCAGCAGCATAATTTAAAGGGAAATTACTTAATACTTTTTTCAATGAAAGAGAAGCAACTCATCTCTTATCTCTAATTCAAGATCACTTGATTTTCTCCTAGGTAAGGTTCAGCTCTTTAAGCTCCTTCACTCATCAAAGGAAACCACCAGGATAGAAAGAAGCCTGGAGAGGGACTATGCTAATGGGCAATGGGAGCTGACTTGTGTATAGCTAAGTCAGAAAAAAGGGGGGAATGAAGGCTCAGTGGGGAACACTTGAGCACAGCCACACCAGAGTGACTGCATTTGCTTTTACCAGGAGCAGAGGGGCCCTACCGGTTGAGACCAATTTAAAAGAAATTCATGGCTTGAGGGGTTTTGGATCTCCTAAATTTTGTGAATTTGGGCTRCATAACTTTTAAGAGCCACGTAACCCCTGTAACTTCTCAGGGACCTTTTCCTCTATTTTGCTCAGTGCTAAAGCAGTGGGGGACACGGAGATAGTATACGTTTACTTCTATCTAGTTAATCCTAAGTGTGTAGTCTTCTGAAGTACCTTTATGGGGAAGATTTCCTATTATATGTCACATCTTTGATAAGTTTTTAGCTTTGCTCTTATTTATAAACCACTGCACCACTATGTTGAACTGACAAAACCAAAGTTCAAGTTCACTTAGAGCAAATATTCTCAAGCCAAAAGTAGTTGCAATGTTTCTTACCTAAGTTCCCAATTTCATTTTTACCTTGTTTACTTTGTAATTATTTTTTTTTTTTTAGTTTTAGTTGGACACAGTATCTTTATTTCATTTATTTATTTATTTTATGTGATGCTGAGGATCAAAACTAATGCCTTGCACTTGCTGGGTGAGTGCTCTACCACTGAGCCACATCCCCAGCCCTACTTTTCAATGTTCTTATTCAACACTTTTCAGTTGTTTGTAACAGAAAGACTAATTTGTATAGCCTAGCCCATCTTTTACTAGAAAAGAAATGCTTTTTCTTATGAAAAAAAGAAGTGGATAGGGAACAGGTGAAAAATGGCTTTGATGTGAGCTAGACCTGGGTTCATATCTTAGTTATGTCTTTTTTATTTTATCTTATTTTATTTTATTTATTATTCTGGTACCCAGGATTAAACTCAGGGGCACTCAACCACTTTGCCACATCTCCAGCACTGTTTTATATTTTATTTAGAGACAGGGTCTCACTGAGTTGCTTGGCACCTTGCCATTAATGAAGCTGGATTAGAACTTGCAATCCTCCTGACTCAGCCTCCTGAGCCACTGGGATTACAGACGTGCACACCACACCCAGCTAGTTATGTCATTTTTTGTTTACTTCTATCATTTATTTTCAAATCTGTAACAACTGGCCCTCTGCACCATACCCCCCCAATACAACAGGCGTTAAACCCAGTGACACTCTACCACTGAGCTCATCCCCACCCCTTTTTATATTGAGAATCTTGCTTAATTGCTTAGGGTTTGCTAAGGCTGGTCTGGAATTTGTAATTCTTCTGCCTTACTCTTTCTGAGTTTTTGGGACTACAGGCGTGTGCCACCATGCCTGACTGAACACTATCTTCCAATACCCAGGTCAAATGTTAATCCCTCTTTCCTCCTCCTCACCTCTTTGCTTTTGCACTTATTACAATAGTTATTACACTGTTCTTTATTTTTTACTGGCTTATCTACTCCTCTAAACTTGAGTTCCTTGACGAGTGAAACTCTTACTGATCTCTATATCTCTTAATACTTCAATAACTGTTTAGAGACTGGATTAAATCAATTCACCCATTTTCATAATCTTTGGCATGATACAAAGAGTTCAGTGAACTACCTGCTACCTAACCCTTTAGACTGAGGGTTTCAATTCTCACTCTAATTATTAGTATTTATCTTTGCTTGGGTGTGATTAGTTTGTGCAGAGAAGAGTTAATATAGCAGGTCTAAAACTGCAATCTTCCAAAGTGCCTGCTTCTAAGGTCAGCCTCTGGCTGGCATCTGGAAATGTGGCTTCCTACATTGCCTGACGAACAAAGTGGTTTCCTATGCCTAGATTTTGCCTACAAACCATGTGATTCTGGTGAAAATCAGCTTTCCTTCTATAGGAACCTGAAATTTTAGTACCTGATAGGCAGAGGTTACTTAGGTAACCAGTCCTCCAAAAAACATGTACTGAATATCTAAAGAGCTTCTCTGTGCAGAAACATCACACATAAATTATTGTATTTTTCCTAGCTGGAAAAAAAAGGATGGATTTTCATTTTCAATCTCCCCTGCCAAAATCTGTTACCATTCTTGGTCTTTTTTGATGTTCAAATTGTCACAAATTTGGCCAGTGGAAATCCCTTCAAACAGGTGCCAGGTCATTCTGACATGACCTTGTTCCCTTTAAGGATGTTGGACTTTTCTTGTCACAGACTTGGAATTATTGGTCACTTCTTCAAAGAGCCTGAGTTCCTTTAGCAGGGGAATAATAATTTAGGAGCCACTGTCTGGATGTACTGAGATGTACTCAATGTTCATCTTTTAGTGGTCTAGCCAGGAATTTTAAAATCATGATGTCAYACTGAAATTTCCAATTCAAATTTACTACTACAGAGCTTCTCCTTACAATTTTTTCATATTTGCATTTCTTATAGTAAAAATCTTTGTGCCTAAAAACATTAACACATCTACTTATTTGTTTTAGGCTAAAAAAGTTCCAGAATTAGAATATCAACATTTTACTAACCATAATTATAACAATTATTTGCAGGTTCTTTCTTTCATTCTTCTTTCTTTCATCCTTAGCCCATAGTCTACTAAAGAAATAGTACTGTGTTCAAATTTACTTACATTAATTTGTTGRTATATGTTAATAAATATATATATACAGTCAGGTTCTTTTGATTGTATTTAATTTCAAGATTTTCTTTTTTATCAAATTTTATCTGAATATGTAAAATATTCATTGTTCAAAAGCCAAACTTCATTTAACAAGTCTCCTCAGAAGTCCTATCCCAGGGCTGGGGTTGTGGCTCAGTGGTAGAGTGCTCGCCTAGCATGCATAAGGCACTGGGTTCAATCCTTAGCACCACATAAAAATAAAAAATAAAGATATTGTGCCCACCTAAAATTAAAATATAAATTTTAAGAAAAAGAAGTCCTATCCCAAACCCATTCTCCTCTACTACACTTCTACTTCCCACCTTTCATTAATTTCTAGTCTATCTGTTCCCTATATCTATGTGTATTTTGTAATAATAAGCAAATATATTCATCTGTTTTTAAATCCCTGTTTTTACACAAAAGGTAGCATACAATATACATTCTTCTCATCTTACTTCTTTCCACCTAAATCAATCCTTACCAGTTCACAGACATCTTACTCATTCTTTTAATATCTGAATAATACTCAATTGAATGTAGATCCAGTATATATCCTCTTCTAATCCCCGCCTCTTTTCAAGGGGGATACTGGAGATTGAACCCAGGGCGGCTTTATCACTGAGCTATATCCCCAGTCCTTTTCCGTTTTTATTTTGAGAGTCTCGCAAAGTTGCTAAGACTGGACTCCAACTTGAGATCCTCCTGCCTCCACTTCCCAAGTTGCTGGGACTACAGGTTCATGCCACCACACCCAGTCTACCACTTTTTTGGTGTGTGAGGCGGGTGGGGTGAACCCAAGGCCTTGTGCATACAAGGCAAGCATTCTACCAACTGAGCTATATCCACAGTCCAAACACCCCTTTTTTGATTCAAATTCATCCTATACTAAAAAACACAGCTCAAGGCCTGCAATCTTTAAAAAGAATACCTTCTTTGGCCATGGTGACCTTTCTCTTTTTTTTTTTTTTTTTTTAAAGAGAGAGTGAAAGAGGAGAGAGAGAGAGAGAGAGAGAAAGAGAGTTTTTAATATTTATTTTTTTTTTTAGTTCTCGGCGGACACAACATCTTTATTGGTATGTGGTGCTGAGGATCGAACCCGGGTCGCACGCATGCCAGACAAGCGCGCTACCGCTTGAGCCACATCCCCAGCCCAACCTTTCTCTTCTAAATCAGAATGCTACCTATGTTACCGATTTCTCTGCTCCTCTCTGTTCCCCAAGAAAAATATCTTTAAAGGTTATCAACATTTATCTCTTCTTCCTTACCACAAATTTACTTGTAATATTTTATTTTATTTATATACTGTGGTGCTGAGGATTGAACCAGGGCCCTGCTCATGCTAGACAAACACATAAGTTTACTTTTAAATACATTCTGACCTAGTCTCCATGCCCACCATCCACCACTGCACTGAAACTGTTATCGGCAAGATCAC